GTGGACACTTCTCTCAGGTTATCTCCAGCTGAAGAATGAGAGTCTTGTGGTTGCCGGAATAATGCCTGGCGCTTCCATGCCTTCCTCAGAGCTGCCCTCATCTCCGCAAGCGCTGGGACGAGAGGAGCCGAGCGGGAACCGCTGACGGGGCCGCCGGACCCGCAGAAAGGCAAAATACACAAGAGCAGAGCGGAACAAGCCCCCTTTGTGCTGCTCTTACTGGGCTCATTGTCAGCGCTGGGCAAGCGAGCGCAGAACTGCTCATCTAGCAAAAGAGCCTCCCTTCCCACTGCTGCTCCTGCACCAAGCATGGTTTGCAAAGGCTCCAAAAGCTGGGCCTGGAAAAAGCTGTTTTCCATATCCTTCGCCCTTTCTAGGCTACCTGCATGGATGTTTGGGTCTTGGGTTGGAATGTGCTCCACGGAGCCTGAATTTTGCCTGCGCGGTTGTCGGTTATCCCACCGTTTTCCACGTCCACAACCGTGATGGTGCAAATGAAGGAAGCCGCTGCAGAAGAGGATGGGAACCTTGTTGTGTTGGGTGCTGCATGTCCCACAGACCAGGTCTGCCTGCAAGACTCTCACAAGGAAGGAGAAGGCAAACAGGAAGCCCTGGCATCCTTGATTTATGTCTGGGAAACGCAGGCGTGCCAAGAGAGTCAGAGATGTAATCAAAGCCAGTCTTGCACATTTGCTACGGGATCATTTTTCTTCCAAGGCTTGCCTGAATTGCAGGAATGAAGAGAATGGGCAGTAAACTATTGGCTACCAGAATTGCACTCTCGAGTGCTTATGGAAGCCAGTACAGGAGGGAAAAAAAGTCACAACATGAAGATGAACTGATGCTCTTTAGAGCCCAGGTTTGAGGGATATGCTCAGCATGGTCACTGCTCTGGGATGAAGGTCTTGCTGTTTGCTACAGGCCTCCTGTAGATTGCTAGGAATTGATTGTATTCCCTTCCCTGCACAGTCACAACCTCCTGGCAGGGGTTTTCCTCCCTGTGTAGGAGTGAAACGTCAGGTCCCCCGAATAGCAGTGTGTACAGGGAAGGGCCGCCCTTGCACTCTCCCCGTATTGCTCACCTTTTCTGGAGAGGAATTGCTGCAAACAAGTGCCCAGCAAACAGGGATGGCTCTCCCAGGGGTCTGTGCAGGGCTGTCCTCGTCCCAGCGCCCGCCCTGTGGATAAAGGACTTGGGAATCGTCACTTTGCATGAGCAGCCTGGGCGCTATGGGCCGTGCCCGGCCTCTTGCTGCTGCTCAGAGCTGCCTCCATCCCTCTAATCCATGGAGACACTTAGTCCGTGCTTGGGCTTCCTGCAAAGGCCCAGTCAGATGGATCTGCTCTGCCGAGGCGACTGCAAGGATGCGGCTGGGAGCAGGTTACTCCGGTTGTTGCTCCTGCTGACAGCTGAGCAGATGGTGGTCAGGGGCTGAGATCTCATTCCACCCCTCCTAGGGACAAGGGAATCTCCTGCCCTTACCCCTGGAGGATTCCCAGCTGCTCCAGGGAATTCAATTTTGCCCTGGAGTACCTTAAAGTTGTCCCCAGGGTCCTATAATTTCTATCAGAAGCTCAAGAATAGCCAAGGATTTCGGCAGTGCTCTTCCCATCCCGTATTCCTCTACTAGGAGCCTCACCGTGCCGTGCCGAGGAGGAATTCCTCCACCCGGAGCGCTTGGGCTGTGCAGCGCTCCCGTTCATGCAGGAATGTGCCCCATAGCGGGGTCGGCATCTCCCCCATCGCCGGCATCTCGGCATCAGCTCTTGCAGAGCTCGTCGCTGCTTGATAGGACCAGGCCTTTTGCCTTCTACACACTACTGCCAATCTCGCTGGGGAGGAAAAAAGGGTAAAAAACAGCGTGTTATCACCCCCAAACCTTCCTTCCTTTCACCTGAGAGATGAGGGCAGGAATCTGTGAAGATGGTAACAATTAAAAATGGAATCAGTCTCCTTTTCAGAGCAGCACTGAAGTGGTTGTTGATACCAGCCGTGTTCCAAGCCCCTATGCTGAAGGAAAAAGGGGACAACTTCAAATGCTGCTGCTGATTTGTCTGTGTCTAAAATACCTGGCTCTTGAAGGCCACAATGAGCCCAGCGGGTTGACAGTGCAAGAGAGATTCGTGTGGATAGTCCCAGCCTGGATGCCTGTGGGAATAGCTCCTGGAAAAATAGCGAGCGGTTACTGCTAGTGCAGCTAATGTGGCTCTGACTTAAGCATTTAAAGAATCGTTAACATCTTGTCTTGATCATGTGATTAGCTTTCCTGATGGGATTCAGCTTTGGGCTCTTTGAAGTGTTTTATCCGAGTATTTACTATCTGACTGTATTACAGCAAATGCAGATCATCCACACTGCTGGCTCTAATCCCCGCTGCTTGGCCGAATTCCAGTCGGACTGATTTCGGGTTTTGCCTGTTGGTGCCTGAATTCCTGCCTGCCATTTTAGCCTGCTGCTTCCTTTCGTGTCCTGCCATGCAATGTCATGTTTCTGCGTGTTTTAATCAGCCGGCTTTTTCCATCCCAGAGGTGGCTGTAGTTCAGGCCAAGGCTGTTGCAATCCTCCGGGTGTTTCGCGATCCTTCAGGCTGAGATCCAAGCAGTATCATTGCCTTGCTATCAAGTGTCACTTTCTTTCAGAAGGTCAATAAGTGCCTCCATTTCCTGCTATAATTAATGTAAAGCGAGGCAATCGCTGCTGGGGCTTATTTGGATATCAACACCGTGGGAGAGGGCTCTGCTCTGCACACTTGCACTGAGCCGTAAAGATGCAGAGTCCGGGACAGGTTTGTGCATAGCAGGGGAGGTAGCTTGCAGAATCCGTGATATTTTTACCCTGCCGCACTTCCTTACTGACAAAGTTTATATTTAGTGGCCTCTAGCAGCTGCCACTGCAGTAGGTGGCAAGGAGAGGAAGGGATCGCACTGCAATTTAGAGCACTCAGACTTTTGTCAGTGTTAAGGCGCTTGTCCTCTAAATCCTTTGCACTGTTTGGAGGAGGGTGAGTGCCGGGGGAAGGAAAGACCCTTCCCCTCGCTGGCTTTCTGCCCACCTGGGCATGGGTATCCTCTTCGCTGTTGGGCTGCCTAGTTTGAAACTTGCTTTCCTTGCAAGCTAGGGAGCTGGATCAGAGCATGGGCTGTACGGACACTTTCCAAAGCGAGCATCAAGTTTTGCCTTCCCTTCAGGAGGAGCAACTCGGAGGTGGTGCTCCTGGCTTCGAGGAAAGTGCCAGCACAGACATGTTGCTAACGTAGCATTTAGGAGTGAGAGCATCCTCCTTGATGCAGCGTATTTCTGTAGTGCTGAGAGGCATTTCAACAGCTGGAACTTCAAGTGGAGGCACCTGGCGTCCTCCCTGCTCGGTTCGTGGATCGCAGGGGTGGGGATGAGCTGCAGGGTCGCTCCCCATGCGCCGCTCGGGAGGGCAGCGGGCACCGTTGCCCATTGCTGCCCCTCCAGCCTCCCTTCCACGCCACCCGGCTGGGCACCCTGCCTTGGTTCCACACAGAATCATAGAATCATTAAGGTTGGAAGGGACCTCTCGAGGTCATCTAGTCCAACCCCCCTGCACACGCAGGGTCACCTAGAGCACGTGGCACAGGGCTGCGTCCAAGCGGGTTTGAAGATCTCCAGAGAAGGAGACTCCACAACCTCTCTGGGCAGCCTGTTCCAGTGCTCTGGCACCCTCACTGTTAAAAAATTTTCCTTAAGTTCGTGTGGAACTTTTGGTGCTTCATTTTGGGGCCATTTCCTCTAGTTCTGTTAGTGGCCACCAGTGAAAAGAGGCCGCCCCCATCCTCCTCACTGCCTTCCTTGAGGTACTTCTAGACACTGCTCAGGTCCCCTCTCAGCCTTCTCTTCTCCAGCTGAACAGGCCCAGCTCCCTCAGCCTCTCCTCATAGGGCAGATGTTCCAGGCCCCTGATCATCCTTGTGGCCCTGCGCTGGACTCTCTCCAGCAGCTCCACATCCCTCTTGTCCTGTGGAGCCCAGAACTGGACACAATACTCCAGATAGCATGCACTGCCCTTGCGGTCGAGCCCCCAGCTTTAGCTTTTTGCAGCATTAAACGTGGCAGAGGATGGAGTTTACTAGCAGGAGGGATATGTGGGCAGGGTGAATCCCCGGCACCCATGTGAATCCCAAGGATTTGAGGGGATGGCACCTGCAACAGGCAGGCAGCGGAGCGTGGCCGAGGTGCAAGCAGGGTGTTTAGATCCGGGATGGATAATCCTTTAAGCTTCCACATGCCGGCATGTCAGCCCGAGCGCTCCCGTTGCCGGAGCGACGCGATGCGTTAGCTCCCGGATGCCGGCTCTGATCGCATCCGTCTGGAATGCGGGCACCGTTTGTTAGTGCTGATAAAGCCCAGAGAGGGCTGGAAGGGGCAGGGAGAGCCAGGGAAGGGCTGCCGGGCTCGGATACCCGGGAGTGAGCTGGGTGCCCAGGGTCTGCAGCGCCGGTGGCCACTCGATGGGTTTGTCCTGCTGGGGAGTGACACCAGCAAGAGCAAAGCAACCTCTGCTGGGGCAGGGGCACCTTCTGGGACAAGGAGGAATGTTCTGTTGAGTCTTTCCTGATGCTCTTTATTCCTTCTTGCTTTCCCAGTTCTGCTGCATTTTCCCTTTTTGTAGCCATCCCTGAAGTTTCCAAGGATGCTTTAAGGCACAGCCTGTGCTGCTATGTATGATTTAGTGCCTATAACCATGTCCTGGGCCCATGTCTAATATCTCGGAAAGGTCTTGTGCACTTCTTGACCATGGTCAGCTCATAAACACATGAAGAACCTGACTCCCTTGGTGACCCTAAGGCTCCTGTTTCACTCGGTGCAGCAGCAGGACCTCGAGGATGTTCCCGAGGATGCCCTGCATCCCCAGCGGGTGAAACCTGGATCTGGGCGCTGCCGTCTCCAGCGAGCAGGAGCTGCAGGGGATAGCGGGGCTGTCCCGTGCTCCTTCCAGCCTCTCAGCCTCTTCCTCTCCCTTTTCTGCAGGGCTCTACCGTCTCTGGCAGCACAAGGTAAAATGAACAAGATGAAAAACTTCAAGCGGAGGTTTTCTCTCTCTGTTCCTCGGACGGAGACCATCGAGGAGTCGCTGACGGAGTTCACCGAGCAGTTCAACCAGCTCAACAACCGCCGGAATGAAGGTAGGAGCCCCAGGTCCCTCTGGCCGTGCTAGGGCTGCCCGGGGGCAGCTGCAGCCGGTGCTGTCAGGAAGTGTCCCCAAGACGCCGACCTTCCTCTTTCCTTGTGGAAAGTCACTGCCCCTTTGTCTTGCTCTCCAATCTCTGCAGCAGGATTAAGAACACGCCGTGGGTAAATCTGGTCTGCAAACAACACGGAGGGGAATGACACGTCTGGTTAAGGCAGAGGGTGTGGAAGTGTGAGATCTCCTGTCTGTGCAATAGCGGCAGTGATGCTTGAGCCTTCCCTCTGAGGATACAAATTGCACTGAGGCCTCGGGACCAGCTGTCCGTGCTCAGGGGAGCATCCGGGGCTCCCTGAACCAGCGTGTTCTCCGGGTCGTGTCTTGCGTGGTGCAGTTTTGAGGGCCTGGGGAGCTCAGGGCTGAGCCGGGCACGTCCCTGGCGCTCTGCAGGCCGGGACAGGCCCCGCTGGCTCGGGATGCATGGAGGGAGAGGCGATGCTCGAGGCGGGCACCGGGGCCAGCCTGCGCGGGCAGGCAGAGCCGCTGGCGCGCGGGCGTTTGGAAACCCGCTGGAGCTGGACGTGGTTCGTGCAGGGGAGCATTTGCTGCTGTGGCTGGAGCTGCATCCTGGGTTTGCTGCTGCCTCCTTCGCCACGGGCCAGCCTGCTCCTGCGTGGGTGCCCTCGGCGCCGTTTAGGACACGCTCCAGCTCTTTCTTCCCTCGCCCTGCAGCCGTAAGTGCTAGAAACTTTTGCTGCAAGCAGAGGTTGAGGCTGTGATGTAATTGCCTGGCACTCGCATCTGCCCCAGCGGGGAGGGATCATCTCTCTGTCTGCCTGAAATAAGAGATGTGATAACCTAATTTGCAGCCGCTCCTGCAGCTCTTGACACACTTGTCTCCTTGCACACACCCAGGTGCTCTGAACATCACCCATTTGCAGCCTCCTTTCCTGCACTGACACCTGAGTCCTCACAGAGAATCTCAGTACCCCCAAAAGGAGGTGGTACTGCTCCCACAAGCACCCCTCTTGTACCCTAGCAAGCAGACTATAATTAGTCTCGAGTCCTTAATTAGTTTTATGGAAGATGTGGGGATAAAAGGGTGCAAGGCAAAGAAATTGCTGGGCAGTGATGGCTGCAGCTGCTCCTGCCTTAGGGGATGGCAGCTCTGGATGTCTGAGCCTTGTTATCTCTGCTGTGCAAAGCAGGATGCTGCTGGGGAAGCCTCTTCCCTGCTCGGCTGCTTTAATGAGGCTTCAGTCACGGCGCTTCCTTCGCCCTTGGAAGGCAAAGCAGGACGTGCAGCATCTGCCTTTCCCTCACTGTGTGGTCCCGGTCCTCCTGAGATCCCCGGGAAAGAATAATAGCAATAACAGTGAGCCCAGGGCTGCTTCCCGGGGTGCTCCCAGCCCGGGTGGTTGTTGAGGAGACAAGAACAGGCAGTGACATGGTGGCACTCAGGAGATGGTCTTGCATGGACGCAGGAGCGCGCCAGGAGCTGGCCCTGGGCTCTGGGAATATCCCGTGGGATATGTGCGGTCCCTCACACCGCTGAGCATCCAGGATGGGAAGTGCCAGCCCGGCACCATTTCCCTGCTTGGATGCAGCATGTTGGAGCTGTGCCGTGTTTTCCTGTGTGCCCTCATTTACACCCAACACTTTTCCTATGCAAAACAGGTGGGGAATTGCCATCCCTGTTGTGCCCCTCGACCTGACAGGCCTCCTCCATCGCCCTGATCCAGCTCCTTCCCGGCTGGGATCTCTTGATTAAGCCTCGCTTGGGTTGTAAACAAGCCTGAGAAGTCACCTCCACTGTGCCCTTAATCTCCGTCTCCTGCAAGCGGCGGCTGTTGTTTATGAAGAGCCCTGACAGCCACATTTATCTGAGGAATCTCCAGCCTCTAATAAACCCCTCTCTGCTGGGAGCTCTTTGCCTGCAGACTTGTGCCAAGCAGAAGCAAGCTGGAGACCTGGCTGCAGAGCTGGGGGCACAAGCCCAGCACCCCCAGGACATTTTGGGAGGCAGGATCGATTCTGGGATGCAAGAGGGGAAGTGAATGGGGCTTAGTGGGCAAGGTCCTCTTTTGCAGGGGTTGGCTGTGGGGACTGGATCTCTTGAGGAGCTGCCTGATCTGGAGAGGGGTCTGAATCAGGGAAGCAGGAGCTGCCTGGGGTATCGATCTCCTTCATTTTACACGTGGAGAAATCCAGGTGCAGAGAGAGCAAAGTCAGTTTTCTAAGGTCATGCAGAAATCTGAATTAGAGAAGCAGGAGCTGCCTGGGGTATTGATCTCCTTCATTTTACACGTAGTGAAATCCAGGTGCAAAGATAGAAAAGTCAGTTTTCTAAGGTCATGCAGAAGGCTGTGAGCAGAGCTGAGGCTACAGCCATGGCAATTACACTTGTGCTTCTCTCCCATATAACACAGGGAAAAGTTTTGCTTCAGGTTTCCTGTTCCTTGTTCTGGATCCCTGAACGTGCCCCTAGGGCTGCCTGTCCTGGTGATCACCGCTCTGCAAGTGAGAGGGTGCCCAGGGACAGCACAGTGTGATCGCTGACACCAGAAAAGAGCAGTAATCGCAGTGAAGATCAGCAAACCGGTTTTGTTTCATCATTTCATACAGCTCTTCGGGGAATCACTCACAATTTTTATTCCCATCCCCAGCATCAGAAATCACAGGTTATCAGAACTCCTAGGTCCCTGACGGTCTGCAATTCCTGTCCTTAGGTGGCCTTTGAATGCTCTTGAAGGGGAGGGTGATGCAGAGGCCGAAGGACCTGCTGGAGATGCTCTCAGCATGCAGAGAGTTGCCCTGATGCTGACAGCAGGACAAGGCACAGCCTTCTTTGGGTAGAAACCTGCTTGGTTTGGTGGTGGTGCAGTGGGAAATCCCACCCCTGATGTCCCCATCCTGAGTCTCTTGACCTCCCTTGCCGTCCCTGAGGCTGATAAAACCAGGCGGGGAAGAAGCAGAGCTGGCAAATGGAAAAGCAAACAGCTTTGCAGCTTGCAAAGCTCCGTCCCAGGCAATGTCACCTTGGCAGAGCCTGAGGATGTGGAGGAGGGAGAGGAAGGAGGTCAGAGCTTAATTCCAGGCTGGGCTCTGTGCAGTATCTGTTCTCTGGCACTGGCCACCCCCAGAGAAGGAGCAGCGCATCTTTGGAGATGAGATTCCTTCTCCATGGCTGCTCCAACCTCACATTCATGCTCCAGGCAAGTGAGCTCTTTCTTTTCCTCTCCTGCTCCCCAGTCATACGTCCCGAGCATCCCAGACCTGATTTACAGAGGCGTTGAGTTGTGGTAGCTCCGCTTTGCTTTGATCAGGGCCCGTGGCAACAGTTCACATCCATCCTAAGGATTCGCCCCAACACGGCTACTGCCTGGGCTGTCCTCTGAGGCCAAATAAGGTCCTATAAATGGGCTGCAAAGCGTGCATAACTCCTAGCTTGCAGGGGCATAAATCAGAGGCAAAGCTGGCCTTTGGAACACAAGGCCACAACGAAGGGATGATGAATAGGGGGAGGAAGGAGGATGAATAATCCAAGATCTGAGTGTAGCTCTGCCCTGTGAGCATAACAGAGCCTTGAGAGAAGAGTTCACACTTAGCAAAGTAATTAAAAGTTCTAAGTCAGGCAAGTAGTGAAGGGTTCTGGCCCCTTTCCTTGGGAGATCAAAGCTTGTTTTGGCAGAAGCTGTGTTTAAATATATTTATAAAAAAAAAAAGTGGGAGGTTCGTCAAAGGCAGCCGCTGTGTCTGCGGTCTCACTTTAATTTGCTTTGATATCCCATGCAGCCTCATTATTTGTGCGGTGTCAGGGCTCACTGTAATCCAATGCAATGCAGAGCAGAACCAAACAGGCCCCCTTGGCTTGTCCACAGCCCCTGTCACCTCCCGCGAGCCCCCAGCAAGGTCCCCAAGGCCCCAGTGGCCCCACATCGGCCCTGCCAGAGCATTCCCGAGATTTGCTGTTTGCTCCAGGCTCTGCGTGCACCTTGCGGGGAACCCAGGATAGACCGGGCTAGCGAATGCGGCCTGCGCTCTCCAGCCTCAAGGTAGCCAAAACACCGGAGAGAGGGATTTTCAGCTTGGATTTGCCATACATGCCCCAAAGGGAGCCAATTCCCTCTTCCTGTTCTTCATCTGCTGCGATTTTGCCCTTGCGAAAGTCCAGCCAACCTTCTTATCTGTTCTGACTTGATAGAAATGCGATGTTGACACTATCTGGGGACTTGGGTGGCCCTTGTCTCACGTCAGTGGCCACCATTCCAGCCAAAGTGGCACTTGCAGGACTTGTCTGGCCATCAGCAAGCTCTCCTTGGCGTCAGCGGGAGGGGAAAGCCAATGCAAACACACTTATCTATATGGTGCATCCTCCTTTGCTCAGTGGATTAGCTGAACTGCAATCTATCCTGCGATAAGTAATGTCATTCAGATGCTAAATGGCCTTTTGTTTAAGATAATTTGCTCAGGAGGGGAGCAAGTTAAAGCGATTTGAAACACTTTAACGGATGCACTTTTATACCTGTGGCTAATTCCGGTCGAATTTCCTAGCTCTTTCCTGCTTGGATAGATACTTGGAGAGAGCGAGTGCGTGGGCCGTCTCTGGAGGACGACATCCTGCTTCCCTGCACTCCATCCCCTTATTCCCCTAGTGCCCATGGTAGGAAAACACAGCTTTTCCCAGGTCATTTGCCTGCCATCTCGCATCCATCAGATGGACAAAGTGCAGCCAGGTGCCAGCGCTGCCCTCGGGGCTGCGGCACGGAGCTCAGCGCCGGATCGCGCTGCTCCCGTCGGCGTTGGAGCAGCAGGTCGGCTCCGTGCAGCTCCTATCAAGAGCTTGGCAGCGCACGAGCAAGCGGCAGGAGTCGGTGGCTCGGCCTTGGGCATTGCCAGGCTTCCCGGGGCAGTTTCCATGCTGCAAATTCACTGCGGAGATTCCCGGAGCACAGAGCACACGAGGGATTTGTGGCAGGGCTGTTTGATCCTGGAGGCTGCTATAGACCTTGCTGGCGTGGAGGATAAAAACAGAGTTTAGACTGAAAGGGAGAGCGTTGTTTGGCCACCAGGAATGGGCCAAAATAGTTATTCCAGCTCTGCTCAACATCCTATAAAAGGAGACACATTCTTCCCTCTGGGATGTGGTTGCTCCTCCATCCACCTGTGTTTGAACAGGGAGCACCCCTGTCCCATCCGGAATGTCCTCCGTGGAAACAGCCTCTCTGTGAACGAGGGGAATCCGCTTTGCTGGGGTCAGGGTTTTGCTGAGCTCCTGTTTGAGTTGCTGCACGCCAGAATATTCCTAGCAACCAGCCAGTAATTACAGAGCAAGCAGGTCTAAGTGCAAACTCAAACTGGAGACCAGAGAAAGCTCAATGGGCTTATTTTGTTCTGATTTCTTGTTCCTTTCAAGGTTTCATGGGCTTGATGGGGCTTCACACTTGGAGTCTCAAGAGGAGAGAGATTTTTCTGAGCTGCTTTGGTTTTCAAGAGAGTTTTTGTGCTTCTCAGGGCTGTGTGTCTGGGTAAGAGCAGCAGGTTGGGGCAGGAACGCCTGGAGTGTTTTGTTTCGCACTAAATGACTCTATGGTTAAGGTTCCCAAGCATCATCTGCTCAGAATTGGTCCTCGGAGGAAGGTGCTCACCCTGATGTCTGTTAGTTTTGGTGGTTCCCAAAGCAGATTAGATAAGTGTGTTTGTAAGCTGCGTGGGAGGCAGCGCACCAGGAGCCTGGAGCAAAGCGCAGGAATTCCCTCTGCTTCTTCCATGCAGAGGAAAAGGACTTTCCATGACCTCAGACCGTCTCGGTGTCCAGGAATCTCCAGAGCTCCCTGCCCTGGGTGCACTCTGTGCTCAACACAACTGGTTTGGGCCTCGCAGCTTTCCCTGCAGCTCCAGCCCGGTCACTCTCTTTTCTCTTTATCCTCAGACCTCGCTCAAGGGCACCTGCAGCTGGGACACCTGGGCAGGGATTTCCAGGCAGGGACGTCGCCGATCTCGCCCTCGGAGGCGGAAGGGCAGTCCCCGGTGGCCGTGCGCTACCGAAACAGCAACAACCAGCGCCGCTTCTCCATGGAGGCAAGTGCTGCTGCAGGCTGCAGCGGGCAGCAGGGACGCGGGGGCTCTCCATAGAATCATAGAATCACAGAATGCTTAAGGTTGGCAGGGACCTCTAGATATCATCTAGTCCAACCCCCCTGCACACGCAGGGTCACCTAGAGCACGTGGCACAGGGCTGCGTCCAAGCGGGTTTGAAGATCTCCAGAGAAGGAGACTCCACAACCTCTCTGGGCAGCCTGTTCCAGTGCTCTGGCACCCTCACTGTGAAGAAATTTTTCCTTAAGTTTGTGTGGAACTTTTGGTGCTTCAGTTTGTGGCCATTACTTCTAGTTCTGTCAGTGGCCACCAGTGACAACAA